GAGAAAGATAAGGAGCAAACAGGAAAAAAGCACTATATGTCCAGGTTTCCTTTTATGGATAAGAAAATAATTTCATGCTTGTGAGCAATACTGTAAATATACTTAGGGAAGAATATCTGTGAATAACAGAAACAAAGACTCTGTTTGCCTTCTCCAAGAAAAACAACCTAGTCAGAGCTCATCACAGTAATAACATACTGGCACCTTCAGAAAAAGCTGATCAGGAGGAACATAAAATTATGCAAAAAATTTCATTAAACCCAGCAATTTTTTCATCACTACAGCCTTGACAAGAACATTTAGCAGCAGCAACTGCTGCTTCTCCTCATGGGTGACTTTGAAACATGGAAAAGAAAAGAAGCCTTCACTTCTCAGGTTTTGTTTTGCTATGAGCAAGTCCAGTTAACAGAATGGTATAGTCTCGTAGTTTTCCAACACGAGAATTTTGGGTATCTGTAGACAGCAAAGTTTTTCATGGTTGTTTAGGATCTTCACACTGAAGATTTTGTTTAACTTCAGCAGAGTTAGAACTTCCTTAGAGAAATTAAAAAAAAAAAAAAAAAAAAGACATCTGCCAATTGAAGTTAGAAATGCCTCCAAATGCTCACAATTATTCTGTGAAGTACTCCTACTGCAATTTGTAAGATTCTCCTATCGTGCCTTGTTTTTAATTCTCTAAGGATGGAAAATGTTTTTTGTTTGGCAGCTTCATACATTGCTTTGCAGTGTGTATCAACTAAACTAGAAGAAAAAAAAAAAAGCTGTTCTAGTTTAATATCTCCATTACTCTGGTGCCTCACTTTTCCAACTCTTTCAGTTATTGTGCAAGAGCATTCAGCACATTCTCTTTGGGCCCTGCAACAGTTGCTGTCAATATAAAATTGCACTAAGGCCAAAGGGACTGTTTGCATGACACTGCCCATGCATGTCACAGACAAGACCACAGGAATAAAGACTGGTTATTTGGCTTATATTTTATCTGGTACAAAAACTGAGGTTAAGTACACTAGCACCAATTGTTAAAAGTTCCTAATTGTGGTAAATTTTACTGCTTGCTAGAGTTTAGAAATTAATTCCACTCTCCTCCAATGTTTACAACCTGTCATGATGTATTTCATGAAATATCATGAAGACCAGCTGATACATGTGTCCAAACTATTTCTGAATAAAGAGCTCCTTTCAGAGATGTTTACTAAGTTAACAGATAACCTTAGCACATTATGACACTTCCACAATATTTTCACAAACCATTGATTTCCTATGCTATATTTTAAGTCTCTTACACCCCTTCCTTCAGCATTTTCTGCTTTCTATCTTCAGTCAAATAAATATAAAAAGAATCCACTGTTAAAGTCTCATTTGCTGTTCTAAATGTGCTGTTTTGCCACTTCAGTAATTTTACTAGTCAATGGTGTTTTCTCTTTTCCCAAATAAAATAAAATCCAGTCTTGTCCTGAGTCTGGCATTTTCTAATCTTCCTCCGTCTAACCTCAACTTCTACCACTACCCAGCTACTGCCTCATGAATTCCACATATTTTGGTTTTTAAGTCCCCTTTGTGACTCTGGCAATTTACATCTGTCAGCATTCAAAGCTGCTCTTGTAGCTGGAACCATCTCACACTCCTCAGTTACTAGAGGAACTTCCAAGCTCTCAGAATTCATCCACTTATTCTTCCAGCTCAACTAAACCATTAAAAATAGAGTAACTGATTACCAGCTACAGAAATATGCAAATTTTTACTATCCAGAAAAATACTTCATTCCTCTACAATAACCCTGTCTGGTACCTGATGCATATTTTGGAAGTTTAATTAAAAAAAAAAAAAAAAGAAAAGAGAAAAAAGGAAAGTTTTATGGAGTTTTTTCTTCCCACCCACAAAAAAACACAGGAGGAATTATTTCTTGACACATACAAAGATAAATTTGAAAACTCCACTATTAGGTAAGGGCTCTCACTCTTTATAAAATTCATATACAATCTCTGATGGCAAAGTAGTAAAAAAAATTAAGATTTTGTTCTCTATAACACATTCACCCTGTACAATCAAAAAAAAAGGAAAAAATTACCAATGAACTATAATTTTTTGACTAATTGTACACAAATTAGTTTCGTCTTGAGCTGTTTACAGACTAACAAAACACTTCTACTGATTGTGTAAAAACATATAAGTGAAAACTCAAAACATACTTTTATTAAAAATACTACTAATATTAGGTAATTTTATCTACACTGACCAAATGTATAAGGGACTAGAACATCTCCCATATGGCCTATACATTCAAAATATCTGCACAAATACCACAATTCTCTGCTTTTGAGCCTAAAGTCTTTAATATCCCTCTGACAACAGCTGTGTATCACATGTAGTCTGTAACAGCTTTAGGATTAATTGTTATCTGTTTTTCCTACCTCATTAATCAAAGGCAAACAACGGATATAATCTATTTTCTCAGGCAGACTTTGGAAATGGATGCATGTGTTCAGTCTGTGTCAGCCACAGTTATTCTGAAGTACATAACAGTCATATAGGGCAAATCAGCTTGTGCTAAGCAGCTGTCCTGCAGAGATAAAGTAGAGAAAAATACCACATCAAAAATAATCACCAGAGTCCCTCCTTCTCAACCCTCAGACTTCACAAGTTCTTAAATACTGCATTCAAGGTCATGCTTTGAAAAGTAACTTTTTAAAAAAAAATTTTTCTGGTCTTAGAAACAGGAATAAGGCTCAATGCTGCCTAACAGAGGCAACTGAAATGAGAGATAATCCTGTGGTTCAGCAGACAGGGAGCACCCAAAGGTTCAGTGCCAGGACATGCCACAGACACGATGCAGGAAACTAAAGCTGTCACTGCATCTCTCTGAGCCCAAGGGTCCTGTTTGTACTAGAGGGACAACAGCTCCATTTTTCTAAAAAATCTTTGACATTAAAACTTACATTTAAGTTCTTTGGAGCACAAACTCCCGTATGACCACAGCTGAACACAACAGCCTCTGTTCTCAGCTAGATCCTGCCAACTAAAGAGGAAAGCAGTTTTCTTTCCTAATACTTCTCACACATTCAGCCCCAGAGCAGGCTGCCCCACTGTCACATCTCCAGAGCTTTTCACAGCACAATGCTGCAGAGCAGAGCACACAAACACACACCCTGCCAAAGGACCTCTGCTTCACGTGTCCTGCACACAGGTCATGGTTACCTGATTGACACACACTTGGCTTTACACAATTCATTAAATGCTGCATTTTAGGCTTGTGAGAGACAGAGCTCACTCTCTGAAATTTTAAAAGTTTAATACAGGATAAAAGGGACAATATCCAGCGCTGGGGTGTCTGGCAATATGCCAAAACCACATAATTAGCTTAAAGCAATGTTCTTATATACTGTTACAGATAAGGGGATACATATATATTCATATATATAAGGGGATACATATATATTCATAAGAGTTTACACATATTCAAACATTCCTGTGAGTTTACACATTCTAGGAACTCTTTTGCTTGGTTTTAACCGTTATCTTGTCTGCATGTCATCTTATAGATTAAATCAATATATTTTATTTCTTCTTGAGGCTCCATTCTGTTGTTTTGACACCAGAGAGTCAGTAGTAAATTTTTTCTCTTGGTGTCCTGGTTCTTGTCACTGTTATCATTCAGACAAGATGATCCACAAATGTGAGAAACAATATAGCTATTTCACACCATTATCTGAGCTAGTTACACAAATAAAAGCATTTTAACATTATATAGCTTTTATTTTAATATTATGCTAAGGGCTAAGACACAATATATATTTACCACACTATTATTTATATAAGTTATATGGTACATACATAAACTGATGGGTTCTATTATACCAAAAGGCAGTTAAAAGGAGAAATTGTACTATATACAATACAAATTATATACTATATACAATAGTATACAATACAATTGCATACTATATACAATTACAAATTGTACTATATCAGAATCTTTGTGATCAATAATAACTTGAAAAATCTAATACATAGATGCAAAAGCCAATAACTACATTCGTCATTTATAACATGGCTCAAATGATGTTTGCTTTTTTTCTCTGTGACATAATAAAAAACAATAACAAAACAAAAGAAAATATCTAAATGAAGAATGCAGAAAGGGTAGAAAAGGGGAACCTACAATGACTGCACAACCTTATAGAGATGGGAAAATTCAGCTGATGGTCTTGTGACACCCTACAAAACCTTCAGAGAATCCTGGAATGGTTTGGGTTAGAAAAGCCCTAAAGACCATCCAGTCCCAACCCTCCTGCCGTGGCCAGAGTCACCTTCCACTAGACCAGGCTGCTCCGAGCTCCATCCAAGCTCGCCATGAACACTGCCAAGGATGGAGTACCCACAGCTTCTCTGCACAACCTGTTCCAGCTCCTCGCTACTGTCACAGTGAAGAATTTATTCCTAACATAAACCTGCCCTTCTTTCACTGTGAAGCCATTCCTCCTTGTCTTAACCCCCCCTCCTCGTATGGATTTATTGAACATATTCTATTGAAACACCCTCAGATGTTTCAAACCGCTCCTTCCCAACAAGTGCCTTCTCGCACCTGTGTGGCTGCAGCCCCTGTCAGAGAAGGACAGAGCCCGTGGCTCCCGGCCGGACACCCACGGGGCTGCCTCGCCTTCCCGCAGCCTTTACCTCGGCTTATGCCGGATTTACCGCCCAGACACAGAGCCCCGCCAAGGGGACAGCGACGCAGCCCCTCCGGGTAACGCAGCCGCCGAGCCCCGCCGGAGCCCGCCCCGAGCCCCCTCACCGAGCGCTGCCCGCGCCCCGGGAGCCGGCCGGGAGCGCCGCCCGCAACAGGCGCCCGCAGGCGGCAGGCCCCGCTGGCGGCGCCCGGAAAGGGGAGCGGGACCGGGCCGGCCCTGAGGGGACCCCCCGGTCCGCGGGGACGCGGCTGCACTCACCGCTCCGGGGCGCGGGCTGCGGCTCAGGGAGGGCGGCAGGGAGCGGCGTCGCCGAGCCCCGAGGCGGCGGAGCGGCGGCGGCCCCGGTGCCTGCGCCGCTCGGGGGCCGGGCTGGGCGGGGCCGGACGTGAGCGAACTTCCGCGGGGCGGCGGGGTCGCCATGGCGGGTGAGTGAGGGGGGAGCTGGGGGGAGTGAACGCGGGAATAGCAGGGGATAGTCAGAGGCGGGGTCCCGGCGTTTGCCGGCAAACTAACGAGGTTTAAAGTGCCCGTGGTGCTCTGCCAGCCGCCGGGCTGCTGCTGCTGTCACCCCCGGTGTGCACCGTGTCTATCACCTCCCTCATGCCCCGGGTGCAACCGCGGGCTTCCATGTGTTTTACCACGTCTCTGTATAAATATCTAAAGGGTGGGTGTCAAGAGAATTGAGCGAGGCTCTTCTCGGTGGTGCCAACCAGTCGGACAAGAGGCAGTGGGCAGAAATTGATGCACAGGAAGTTCCACCTGAAGATGAGGAAGAACTCCGTTCCTATGCAGTGGCCGAGCCCTGGAACAGATGAGCCAGAGAGGCTGTGGAGTCTCCTTCACTGGAGATATCCGGATATCCCTGAAGAACCGTCTGGGCAATCCTGTGCCACGGCTCTGGGATGGCCCTGCTTGAGCAGCGAGCTTGGACCGGCTGACCCGCTGGGGCCCCTCCCAACTTGACCCATTCTGTGATTTTGTGTGGACTTTACATCTTTTGATGTGATGAACTCTTTTTGGGCATCTCTGTGGATAACAGTTGAAGCCAGCAAACATTCAGGCAGGACATTTGGCTTGGCTTTGAGCCCTGCTTTGGCTGCCAGGGCAGGGCCTGAGGTGCAAACGTGGGGCTGCTTTGTGTGATCAGAGGAGGTGCAGAGGGTTCTTACAGCTGTCTGCCCTCCGAGGAGACACCGTGAAACAAAGGCTTTGTGCTCAGCAGTAAAGCACCCACCACCTTCAGCAGGACTCAGCCTTTCCCCAAACTCTTGGAGCTCACATGTTGCTGTGAATTAATGCTGACATGAGCACTGCATGCATGCACAATAATTGCTGCCATGATTTCTCTCTGTCATACACTGCATTAGCATCTGTCGTTTGATATCAGAAGACTGCTAGATCTGCCAGCACTACAAAGCCACTGCTGTCCATGCTGCAACTGCACATCTCAGAATGTGCTTGCACTTGTTTAATAATACGGTTTTCTTGCAGATAGCAAGAGATAAGGAATTAGATTTCATGACCAAAGACAGTTAATGTAAATTCCATTTTACTTTAATCAATATTTACCAGTAAAGCAAGGAAATCCTTCACACAAATAGCTGCTGGACACTGATTTGTTTCTGTATGCTTTAAATGGCTTCAATGTCTTTATTTTCTCATACAGCAAAAAGTCCTCCTGATAGTACTCCAAGAAGGCCTGTTTTATCTGTCAGTGCAAGAAAAATTAAAGATAATGCAGCAGACTGGCATAATTTAATGATGAAATGGGAGAGACTGAATGATAATGGATTTACTACAGCAAACAAAATAGTCAACATGAGGATCAGTGAGCAGTAAGTATGCTAATACCCACGAATAAACATAGCATAAAGATTGCTTTTATTGAGAGATTAATCTGCTTTCTTCACTAGAAAGTTCTGTTGGGAGATGGGAAAAGAACATGTCACAGTGGATAAGCTAGCTCTTAGATCAAACTCAGCAGTTTCAATTTTTTGGTTACATAAGCTATTTACATTCAAATAATGTCTCATACAGTAATGTTATTTGCAAGAAATGGGAAATTATTATTTTACATAGTCAAATGTAACATGTTTTAAATATTTACATAATGTACCAAGTTAAAATCTAATTCTATAAATCTCTGCCCATGTGAGTTCCCTTACTCTCTTGCATGTTTTACAGTGAGGTGTAAAAAACTCAAGTCAAAAATTCAGAACACTTTAAGGAAGAATCAGTGATTTGTACAGACAAAAAGTTTTAATGATGACTTAAAACCAACAAAGAATCAACAAAAATACCACACCACAAGCACCATAAAAAAAATAAAAATAAAAACACAGAAAAACTGAAAAAACCCCACTTTGGTAGAGCTTTTATTTTCATGCTGTAATGAAAAACCTTAACTAACAGGGCTGTGAGCAGCTTCTCCAGATTCCTGACAGCTGAAGAGGGTTTGTCTGACAGGGTTCTGACAGGTACAAGCTGAGGAATATTTTGCTGTAATGGTGCCAGATGTTGTTTTGCTCTTCAGCAGCTCTCTCTCTCCAGTCTAAGTTTACAGCTGGTGTGGGAAAGTCTGCCAGACAGGGCAGGTGTCTGCACATTGACTGCTCTGGGGTCACAGATAAATGTCTTGGCTTAAATTTGCACAAAGGTGAGTTTGTGGTGGGGCACCAGATTGTCCTGTGGAACAGCTGAAGCCTGGCATATCTTGTTGGTGATGAGAGAACAACCTCCAGCACAGGGGCAAGGTAAAGAGGGAAAAAGTGTTATCTTAACACCTACAAATGTTTTTTCAAGCACATGTTCTAAGGTAGAGTAGTTTTGTTTTTCTCTGAAGATTGTGGTACTAGCCCCATTTGCCCACATGGCCAGCTATGCATTTTGCTATTTTTATGTAGAAATTCTCATGAACAGCCTGTGAGTGAGAGATTTTGTAGGATCAGACCACAAGGATTTTAAATCTGCACTGCTCAAGTAAACCTAAGTGTGCCTCATGTTTCTGTTTTAGATTTCAAGACAACAAACTGGAGATAGTATGTGATAACAGTGCCACAGAACCTGAAAAGCCAGCCCCAAAATACAATGAAGAGCTGGACAATTGCTGTGCAGAATTACTTGAGACCTTAAAGCATATGGTAATACTCATTTTTCAGACTCAGTCAATATGAATCGATTCCAAGTAAGCTCAAGTAACAAGGAAATGTCCTGAAGTATTTATTGTAGGCAGAAAATTGGGATTTTCATTCATAGCTCTTTGGCTTGAAATCTAAATGACTATAAATCCAGAGTGCACCTTTTATTTGATTGGTAAATTTCAAAGTTGGTTTTACTTCTTCTGTTGTCTTGTAGTTCTACTCCTCCCTTTATAAAGGGATGTGGAAACAAATTGTACAAAGAATGCATTCCAAAGCTGCACCTGTCTTCTGTTTCTCCTCCTGGATATTCCCTCTGTTTAGAACAAAAGAAACAGCAAAGCATAAAGCAGTGCTCTACCTGCCATCATATCCTTGCAGCTGTCTTTGATCAGACATAATGCAATCATATTTTTAGCCTGCCTACCTGTGTTTGCTGTGCAGATCTCCTTCTCTGGAGAGTGGAGTAAGATAATTATGTAACCCAATGCTTTTTCTGGATATCTTGCTAGGAATTAATGTCACCTGTCAGTTTGACAGGAAGCAAACAATTTTTTTCTGCCAGATACTGTAATTTAAAATTCTTACTAAAAATAACTTTTACAGCCTTTTGCTAAAGTGGAGGCCCATTAAAAGAATGGTAGATCTGTTTTTTTATGTAGATCGGATGCAGACCTCCAGTATTTAGAAAAAGCAGGAAACTGGCTAGGTTTCCCTCAGATTTTTTTCAGTGGGGAAAATGTTTGGGGATTTTTTTTTTCCTTGATGTACTCTTCTGTGCTTTCTGTGGGGAAAATGTTTGGGGATTTTTTTTTTTTCCTTTATGTACTCTTGTGTTCAGACTACAAATGCATTGATAAAGTTTTTACTCTTCCTGAGGAACGGGAGTCTAAGCAGTCAATGTTAGATTGGATACTAAACACAGTTACTATGACCTACTTTATTTTTCATTCCTTAGGAGTTTATCTGAGGTTGCAGGTTCATAGATGTATCTGTGGTTTAGCTGCTTGATGTAAAGATACTGCCTGCAAGCTCATTTTGGTGTAAATATTCATACCCAAATGCACAAAGTCATATGAACTTGAAGGAAGTGGATGGAATGACCTATTTTTTGAAGCAAGTTGAAAGATCACCCTAGATGTATTGTCAGTAGTAGCTTGAGCTGCTTTTCTCACCTGCTGCTGATCTTTTGAAATTAAAGTCTTCTTCATATGGTAATGTAGAAAAAGATCTTGACAGGGCTTGTGCTATACCAGTGTGATGTTTTTCCCCAGTGCTAAATTAGCCTCCTACAGATAGCCTCTGTGTTGCTGAGGTGAAAAAATGAGAGGGATTTCGTATAATTCTACATGTGGGAAACAAAAGAATGTCCAAAGCAGAGTCATTTCTGCAGTGTTCAAAATTTCCAGGTATCTCATATTAAGCCTTTATATAGATTCTAGTTTTGATCCCTGTCTGGAGTTAAAAAAACGTGAGTTAGAAATGTCAATATTAAATAGCCTTTGTAAATAGTGTGTTTGCAAAAAATGCTTGATATTCATTAACATTCCATGTTCATCGTTTTAAGACAAAAATACAACTGAAAATGGAAAAGCTTACTTCTACTACTAAAGCAATCTGTGACTTGGAAACATTCCACCATGGAGCTGGGAATTGCAAGGCTCCCTTCTTTCATACATGGCCCACACCATACTTCTGTAAGTAAAATATCGATTATCTTAGCTAATTACATTGTGTCATCCAATTTATGAGTGAAAAATAAGCCCTCTTATCTGGATGTCTTGCTTGAGAGGGAGAGAGTGCTGTCTCCTTTACAACTGACTAATCAATAAACACATTAATGCATCACTTGGTTTAGGGTTACTGCTGATGACTGCCAAGCATTGTCTGACATGCAACAATTACAGCATAGAACTAAATTTGTCAGCAGCTTACAGTGTCCATGCTGCAACAGCCACATTCTCTGCAGGAAGACATGAATTTGCAGCTTGCTGGTGTTAAGCTGCAGGCTTAACTACTTGACTTGTTACTTGACATTGAAATTAAATCCTTGAATGGAAAGAGCAAGCTATACCTCAGTTAATTCTTGAGCAGCCAAAGAAAAAAACCTCTGATCTCAGCGTCAATCAAGAGAAGTAAAGAAATGTTACGCTCTACTGTTAATTCTTTTAGCATTCACTTGATGGCAAAAGGTACTGCCTCCTAGCTGGTATTACCCCAATTTTAAAACTGTCTGAATTCAAGAGAAGCCTGATTGCATGGAAACCAGCTGCCTTCTTTGTGAAAATCATACCTCTGTGAAGCTCTACCTCTTAATTCACTACCACAGTTTAGCAGGAATCTTAATGTATTAGTTGCTGCCAGCCTCAAAGAATAAGAAATGACAAAGACAACTGCTGTCAAAACACCCATTGTGACTGAATCATTTAGTGATGCTGTCTACTCCATGAAAGACTTAAGTCCTTCTGGAGGCAGTGATAGTTCAGGCTAAGTTAGAAGCACAAGATAAGTCTCTCTTTAAAAATACTTTGTGTGGTTATTTTTTAGTAATTCAAACAATGAAAGATTACAGATGCATTTTAACCCCCCCTACCGGTTTTACTAACGTAACTAGTAGCAGTTTCTACAATAAATGCTTCAGTTTTGGTCTGTTGGGGTTTTTTTTACTGTTGTTTTTCACTATTGGTATTACTTATTGGTGATCATGCATTGCTGAAGTGCTTCACAGCATGTGAGGGCATCCTTAAGATTAGCTAAAATCAAGAGTGACTCTAAAATGTGAAGCTTGTATTGCAGGATAGCGTTACCAAATTTTAAAATCAAATTTCAGTTATTTGAGCAATAAATTGATATTTTTATAGTGAGCCCTGAGACCAATACCATTGCTTATTCTAGAACTAAATGTGGACTCATGTCAAAATCAGCAGTGTGTAAAATACATCCCAAAGCTGAGGAAAATGTTTAGTATTTTATATTCTAATGTAAAAACATCATTCATGCTGTAAAAAAAAAGATGGCTAAATTGGAGAATAGCTTATGTAAGGTAGGGTTTTTTTATCCATGAATTACAAGCATAATTTAGCTTTTAGAGAATTGCTGAAATGTTCTGGTCAATGTGCTTGTTTTGCAATCCATTTCAGATGAGGTTTCTCTGAAGCTGTGTGAGATGTACAAGAAGGAGCTACAACTCAAGCAAACAATTGTACAAGACATTGCTCATTCTGCTGACCAGGATCTGATGATGGTGTATTTATCCTCGTGGCTGTACCAGCCTTACATTGAGAACAGCAGCATGCTGCTGCTCGAAGCCATGCTGCTGGAAACAGGACACAGGCAGTGCTAGAATTCCAGAGGTTACATGGCTGGCTTCTAATGATGCTTACATGAAACTGAACTGGCATATTGCAAAGCTTACCAAGTAAGTTGATTTTTTTGTAAAACTTATTAAAAATATTTTTCTCTTCATATTCCTTACTTTGTCTCATCTGATACTCCTTTTTCTGCATGGGACAATCTAGTTTTGATTGTTTTTTATCTATTTTAAGGGCAACACAGAGGCTACAGGTAGGATGCTAAGTCTTCTATAGTCAGAAAGAGGTAAGCACAGCTTGGTAGTCTGGGGGATTAAATGCAAATAGAATATACAGTAAAAAATGTTACTTCCTCCCAAGTCTGGACAGCCTGAGATACCTACACGGTCCCTTTTGTCACAGAAATTCAGCACTTCTTGATCTTCCATGTTTTTTGGGGTTTCTTTTGCATGAATTAAGAGGGCAAATGTTTTACTTAGTAAGTAGAAGAAAGGAAAGCACAAAAAGAATCCAAAAGGATCCACATAGTTTGGCATGTGATTTTGAAATGCTGCTGCAGACAGTAGTGTAAGTTCTGCTTTGGTTTGGATTCTGGTGTTGTTGGGTACATCACCCTCAGTGAGAGATCCAAGCCTGACCAGCACCCAGGGAAGGTTTAGTAGAACTCAGCATTCTACAGTCATTATATAATAAGGTCTTGTCCCTTTTAATTAATTTTAACTTTTTTTTTAAGAGATGTTCAATGAAAGCATCTGTGAATAAAACAAAACCTGCTTTAGTCAAGGCTGTATCCCATCTTGTCTGCTCCCTATCATAGGGCTCAGTAAGTTTTTCCTTAGGTTATTGGTTCTGACATGAAAGCATCTGTGAATAAAACAAAACCTGCTTTAGTCAAGGCTGTATCCCATCTTGTTCCCATCTTGTCTGCTCCCTATCATAGTTTTTCCTTAGGTTATTGGTTCTGATGTCAAGTGGTTTTGGTTTGAAAGTGTGTCAGTCCCTCTGTACTGATGGGAAAAGCAAGGTCACTTACCTAATTAGCCCCAAGCTGAAACCTTGGGGTTAGTAAGGAAAATCCATCAGTTTCCTGCAGGAACAGGACAGACAGACATGAATTGAGAAGTTTTCTTGAAAAGTTGTTCGGTTGAACATTGAGGTTGTTTCTGGCAGCTAATAAGAATTCTATTCTTAGCCCACAATTCCAGCATCTATAAAGAAATTCTGCTGTAGCTCAAGGAGGATAAAGTTAGGAACAGCTTTGTTGGGTTTTGTTATTTTTTCAGTGGAAGTGTTCCACTTAGTTTAACAGCCACCTTAATTCATCTGAGTTGGGCCAGACCTGTGTCACTATGGAAACATCTCAGTACTTCAAAAATATTTTCCAAGGAGAAAAGATTGATTCACATATAGAACTGTTCTTTTAAGATGAGAGTAGGTGTATTATATTTCCCAGCATGGGCAAATTGATAGGGAAGGCAATATTGAAGCAAGTTTTTATTTTCTCCACAGGTGGAAATTGTAGTTTGTTCTCATTTCTTAAGAGGAAAAAAAGGCTTTTCAGGAAGGGGTCTTCATATTCACAGACCCTCTTGCTTATTGACTGTTGTTGGGCATTGGAAGATTACTGCAAAATCACTGCAGAGATGTTTTGCCATTCTAGCTCTAAGCAGTTGATTGTTATATTTGTAGCCCTCAAATACAATTATTAGACAGTCAGTACAAAAGAGTATCATAAAGAATTGCTCACTGCAATGAAAGACTTTGAAAGACCAGCAGAACTTTGCTTTGTGTGCTACCTTCACTTAGAAGGTAGGTCTGTATCCTCTGGCAATTACCACCTCCTAAAAAAAGAGGGGAAAACCCCAAAACAAGTAGTAACTCATTAATAACTCATTAATGTAAAGTATCTTTCACAACTACTCATAAAAGGCAACATTTTGGATAATCAAATTCATCTTCTACTTATGCAACCACAAAAAAACCCACCAAACAAAAAAGCCTAACCCCACTATGTTTAAAGGGACAGAGTAGAGCAGTTTATTTGATCTTCTGTAAATTGTCATCTGCAGTGTTTTTCTTAGTGGTAACAATACCATGAAAAAAAAAAATCACTGCTCATACTCAATTTAAGAACAACTCTCCTGGCCTTGGCAGATTTGTCTGATTGTCCCAGTAGTTGCATCTATTCAGCAAGGAGGTGACACACACATTTTAAGGATATGTTACCACTTTTCAGTAGTGTCTGCTCATTTAATGCTGTTCTTTTTCACCTGCTAAACTTCTTGAAAGAAAAGACAGTGCCCTGGACAAGATGCTGGTAGGAGATCTCCACAAAAATATAATCTGATCCAAGGATCATACTGAAAGTATGACAGAAATTCAAGTCATTTGCCAAGTTTTCTCCCTGCCTAGAGCAACAGTCTCTTTGTATTATGATTAAACAGTACAGGGTAGCGTGGAGTTACTGGAAAGGTCGAAGTGTGGAACTCACAGAGGATGCATCATCTGAAAGGGAAAAAAAAGTGTAATACCACTCTAACAAAAATAGGCCATGAAGACTAAAGCAAAAAAAGAATTTGGTACCTCATTAAGGAAAATTAGATCACTACTTATGTACTTTCCCATTTATGTCTACATAACAGCAATTTTTAAAGGTGTGGCTGAATATTAGACAAGCAACTTAAATACATTTCCAACTGTTCAGTACAAATCAGATCTTGTTTGAGGTTATTTTTGTCTCAACTCAGTGAATGCTTTTTTCAGTAAGGATCAGCTAGGCTGTCACACTGTTCCCAGAATGCACAAGTTTGTGGATTATACTTAAACCTGCTCATTTTTCCAGGCAGATTTATGTGCATCAAGTCTAGATGCTAATGAATATTCAAGATAAATTTAAAAAAAACACAATTACAGTGTTTTGTACTCTCAGTGGCACAGAAAATGCACATTTTTAATATAGCTTTTATTTTACCCATATACAGCTCGGCAGTACACAGCACATCACTGCTGAACAGCAGTACAACTTACTGCATTTTTAGATGGCTAGAGAGAAAAGGAATTATGTAACAAAAGGGAACAGTGCAAGTTTTAGGGTTGACAAGATTTCCACCTTCCACCCATCCCCAACATAGAAAGCAAATAGAACAATGTTAATTCTAGAATTTTTGGTTGCAATGCTGCTAAATTTATATAAACATAAGTTATAAAAAGTACAGGGCATAGAAACAGTTTACAAATAAGTTAAATTTCAATTATTTCAGTATTCACATTAGAAAAATATACATTTTATAATCAGTCTTTTCCAGAAGAAAGCTTACAGGGTTTTCTAATTTATGGCTCTAATTCACTCTGTGAGAGCAAAATATCTTCACTTTGGCCACCTGCTTCCATTGCCAGTAGTGCTTCCACTGTTTCCAGAGGAATCCCTTCGGGTGTGCGAATGTGCATTGTAGTACCGCTGGAATCGGTCACAATGACGATGCCTTCTGCCTGAGACAAAACAGCAGTGTCTGGATGAGACAAGATAAGCCCATCTGAAGTCTGAATAAAAATCTGTTCGTGTCCCTGAGACAAAAAATCATGGCTCTCATCAGAAATCTCAAAAGCTACAGTTTCATCTACAGTAATTGTATTTGCCAGCTCGTGTGCTTCCTCTGTCCCACAAGAATATTCACTCTGGTTTTTGAAAGCATTTTCCCTGTTCCCATGAGCAGACGGGGAGGCTCCCTGGACAGCGTTCTGGAGCAACTCAGCCTGAGCATTCTGGGGGTAGTTTATTGGCACAACGTTTGTTGAAAAAACCTTCTCAAGTTCCTGTATCTCATCAGCCATATCAGCATTACGGAGTTGCTCAGAACGTTCTTTAATTGCAAAATTCGGGTTTTCTTCTTGCAGTTGATGGTATTTTGGACTGTGACCATTTTCTTCACTCGTTGGCAGGGCAGTGCTCTGCCTGGCCACTGCCTGCTCCATCAGGGAGCTGCGGAGCTCAGGAGCTGCCGGTCCCCGCGCCGCGCTCCCGCTGACAAAGCGCGCCTGAAGCAGCCCAGCCGAGCCGCCTGCTCCCACGGGCAGCACCACTTCAGTGTGCAGCAGAGATGCTTCACCTGCCACATCTGCTGCCTGCATCCCTGCAGCCTGGGGATATTCTATCCTCATTTCCACAGTCTGGGAGAAGGTACCTGAATTTTCACCATCGATTTGAACTCCTGAGTCAGCAAGTGAATTGTGTTCCTCTGCTGTCTGTAATGTACTCCCAGTAGTACAGCAAGTGATCTGCCTGTCTTCTGAAAGCAGGATTTCTCCATTTAATGGATTAAAACCTGAAAAGGGGAAAGAAGTATTATTTTGTTGGGCAATCTAATATTGCATGCCAAAAACCCTGTATTTCAGCAATGATTTCGGAGGAAAAGCTTGACTATTTCCCTGCTTTGCTTCTCCCGAATTAGCAAACCTGAAGCACCTTACAGGAGTTTCACAGAACTTCCCAATGAGAAAGTCACTATAAAAATATTTAAGGAATTTTTGAATAATGATAGGTTATCAAGTATTTCTATGTTAAGAGACCTTACATTTAGAGGCAGTATTTTTCTGTTCATCCTGAAAACAACTTCGGCTGAAAGGCAAACTCATTTTTCTTCCATCTGTCATGCAACCAGTAACATTAAAAGACAAAGACTTCACCAGGCACAAACTTGTCAGCTGCTCATCCTCATCACTTTTAGTAAGTTGATGGAAGCATTTTTAAACTTCTGTTTAAATTTCTATGCCTAATCATCATGTCATCCTGGACTCAGACATGTCATCAGGTTACTACATAATAATTAGCTGTGCTAAGAGCCCCAGCAGCACTTTTGTCCTGTGCCAGAAAAGGTCAAAACCACAAGAAATGCAATGTTCTACCAGTTACTTGACTGGACCTGTCCAGGGTCCCAAACCCTGAAAGTAGCTGCACAATAACTACTAAACTGCAGTAGTATGAGGTGTCAATCTGTATTACTAAAGGTCAAAAGGAACAAGTAAGTTGGTTTGGTTTTGGATTTTTTTGTTATCAAAGATACCACTGCACAAAAAAAGGAGACTTCACACTGCAGAGAGGACTATTTTTAACATTTTGCACTGTAGACTAGCAAACACCCTACTAGCAGGTGCAAGAAAAAAGTA